ACGGAAGACTGGAATACAATACTTGAAGTACAATAATGGTTTTACTCCTGGGCTGCCTGTGCCCGTTGCCCTAGCAATAGGGCTGATTTCTGCACAGGCATGTGCCCCCCCCCCCCCCCCCCCTAAAACAGTCGACCTACATGTAGGTTGAGCATGCAGATAATGACCATGAATGACATGCACCAGCCATCCTACACATGTACATATGCGGTCGTGCCAGGGACCTGAGCTAAAACAATCTTTGATTATTGTGGCAGTGAGTACTCGGACAGTGATTTGGCGTTGATTATATTTTGATTCGCTGACCGAAACGGACAAATGCATCTCATAATAATGTGTGATTAGTACTCTGAGAGTGAGTCATAGCACTTGCACTCCTTTCACAGACTGATTGCTTTGTCTAAACAGTTTTGAATCAGCAAACACCGACTGCCCTGAGTCCCTGACTGCATAGAGTATACTATTGCAGTATTGATGTAATAACAAGGAAGCTAGTGACATACTATTATAGTAAACTTATAGTATTGATGTAATGACAAGGAAGCTAATGAATTCAGAGAGCTACGCAGGAAACCAGAATCAACCATGACATCCTTCATCCACCATCGATTCAATCGTCTGACACCGTTAACCATTATCTATTGTGTACCTGTCCATCATCCTGTCTATGGCCCTGGTCGTGTATGGCATGGGACTGACTAATGCCAAAAAGTAATGGCGAACAATACAGCAGTGTGTAGTGTGATGAAAGAGCTTCTCATCCTATGTCATCCTGTGCACCGCGTTGCTGGACTGGAAGTGGAAGTGACCTTACGTTAGTTTCCGCTCATTGGGTGTGCTTTGTTGGTGTTTTGTTTTTTACATACTCCAACTCCCCAACTCCCCATCCGACACTCTGACAGTTAGTCTAGCCTCTACTCTATACTGTACTGCCAGTCCGTAAATAGGTCGCTAGCAGTGAACAAACACGTTGGAAACGTCCTTACAAAGGGCGTCGCTACGACGTGTCGAACGCTATCAATGAAACAGTTAAAGGGGAAGTATACCCTAAAATCAAATTTTCACCAGTTGTAGTCTTCTGGGTGCTGAGTCGAATGGTCTTGGTCCGAGGAAGCTGAGACGCTCCCTTCCTACTTGAATCCCAATCGAACTCGCGCACTTCCACCGAAACTGGGTGACTGCGCCCTACTAGATGGGGATTTGTATGCAAAATGTCACTAAAAGCGCCATTTCGTTCTTATAAAAGCACGGATGACCGCGATTGGCCCATATGTTGTAGTCTTTTGGACGCTGAGTCGACTGGTTTTGGTCCGAAAAGGCTGCGATGCAGCGTTCCTCCTTTATTCCCAATCGAACATGGTTGAACAAGCGGTCACGTGCTCCTGCGTACACCAGTCAGCTGGTCACCGTGCCTGCAGGGTACAACTTACTAGCCTGTTTGACCTTTTTTGGGTGCAGTCCTGTCACTCGAGTTGAACTCGAGTTGAACCTTGGTGTGAAAGTTGTCGCCTGCTGGCGCGGTGACCAGGTGATTTGGGCACCCAGGAGCACGTGACCGCTTGTTCAACCATGTTCGATTGGGAATAAAGGAGGAACGCTGCATCGCAGCCTTTTCGGACCAAAACCAGTCGACTCAGCGTCCAAAAGACTACAACATATGGGCCAATCGCGGTCATCCGTGCTTTTATAAGAACGAAATGGCGCTTTTAGTGACATTTTGCATACAAATCCCCATCTAGTAGGGCGCAGTCACCCAGTTTCGGTGGAAGTGCGCGAGTTCGATTGGGATTCAAGTAGGAAGGGAGCGTCTCAGCTTCCTCGGACCAAGACCATTCGACTCAGCACCCAGAAGACTACAACTGGTGAAAATTTGATTTTAGGGTATACTTCCCCTTTAAAATGTTGAATCCGCACCCATCGGGATGGTTCAAGAGCAATACTCCACGAGAGGGCACTAGTAAAAGAGCACGACTTCACTGTCTACGGTACAAGATAACAGTGCAACATGCGTGTCGGGTCAAATCGAGAACAGCCGCCAATCGCCAGAATAACTCATTTCCCAAACCGTTTGCAGTTTTATTGGAGCGCTGGAATCGATGGAAGACAACTCCAAAGCTAGGGAAACCGTCGTAGCTGACAGCGAGCGCACCCGCACACTGACCATGATTGTGTTCTGCATGCGATCCAGGTTGCAGCCTGTGCTGGTATAACGGATTGGATTGTATCAACTAGTACTGAACTAGTCAAGAATGCCACACGAACTGAAGAGGATCTACAAAATTAAAAATAGGCATCATACTCATAGTCGATGGCATACAGACTCCTGTCAGTGTACTCAATGGCATGGATCTCCCCATGGTCTAGCAGAGTGGTACAACCACTACTGGCACTAGATGATCTACCTACATTGTAGATCTATTTTATGTTTAGACAAGAAGAGAGTGTAGTGTCCTAACCAAGCATGTTGCAGTCAGCTGATCCTAAACTGCAAAAGGAACAAAAAAGGGGAACTCATTTTCCAGTTCATCCACTGCACTGACGACTAGATCGTGGTCGCTTTGACAAGCCGATTTTTTCGAAGGTGCTGTGGCAGCGCTCGCTCCATGATTATAATCTTGTTGTGTGTGACTGCGTGTGACCGAGTCTGAGTGTGGTCAGGGCGCCATACAACATCAACAAGACATGCCAGGCCAGCTGGGAAACTTGACTTGATCGAGCAGTACGAGTTCGAGTACGACCATCGGTCGCGGGGTGCTATCAACACGGAAAATAAGGAAAAAGGGGAGAGAGCTATGAAGTGAGTAGACAGAACGCCAGATGAAGTACTACTACTACTAATAGGTGAACCTCGGTGCATCATCCAAACATGCATTGCCGATCATTACTAGTACTAGATCTACTACGACTTCGCAATGCATTACCACTACGCTACAGTACGTCAGATTGCGCTCACAACTGCCACTCGACTGCCTCAACTGCCAAAACGACACTGCAGTCTGCAGTCAGAGTCTGAGCCAGCACTCCGCAGGCTCACGGAGTCGACCAGGCTGCGGATATATCTGCGAGTGAACGAATCAAGGAAATGCGTAAGTAACTTAGTTCTCAAAGTCAAACATCGCAGTGCATTTTCGGCTCAAACTGTCAACGACGGCCTCCCTCAAATCGTGTAAACACGGCCACCTGCTACGCTCCCCACGTTAGCAACAGCTATTTACACACACGTGACGGGTAAAGTAGGCCAAACCAGCCGCCACAGCAACACTCCAGCATCAGGCGAATACGAACTACACACTGTCTGTACTGTCCAACAGCTAGCTGTAGAGATTCAGGGCCAAGCAGTTAGCTAGTGCAAGTCACCAAGTGATAATTATACATGACTTTCGTACTACATACATGTACATGCACTTCAGCCTGTTCAGGCAGGGCTCACATTTTGGGGACGAAATAGAAATTTACTCCGCACGGCAAGTATGCGAGATATATCGGCACATTCCGTGCACGACAATTTAATATATCGGCACATTCCTCGCAGCAGATAATGCCCTATTCATCTCGTGCACTTCGTCGAACACGCTACAACACGTGAACGTCTAGCGGAGCATAGAGCATCGTAACTCCAGAACAAACTGCATTTTGCTAGAAACACACTGATTCGTAGTCAAAACACACGACCGGCAGTCATAATCAACAAGAAGGCTTGGTCCGGAGGCTGTTTCGAGCGAACCAAAGCCATGGGCACTGACATGACAGTTCGTACAGCTAGAATCAACGCGTTTACTACTGTACCAACTAAAAATGTTACTTGACTGCATACACTGTAGTAGTAGTAGTACTAGTACACAATAATCACTCACACGACAAGGTGCAATCTCGACACACACACACGCGCGCGCGCACGCAAACACAAACACACACTACACACACGCACATACCACACACACACACGCGCGCACACACACACGGAACAGGTACACACAATACTGATTACTAGTAGTAGTACAACGACCGCTATCTGAACGAGCGAGTAACACAAACCCCTTGCCAAGCCAAGATAAACACACATGGTGACAGGCTAGCGCTAGCGTGTACGCGAGGCGGGTGTTTACTTACTGAAATGTTTGAGCAACGAGTCGGCCAGTGTCCGAAGCGTTCCCGACTTCAGCTCCGCAATGGGCTGGGCGTTGCGTATAGACTCGGTCATGGTACTACTCTGCCTGGCCTGGCTCTCTAGCCATTGCGAGGAGGTGCTTAGAGGCATTATCTCGCCACCACCAGCACCAAAACCAACCGCTACCAGTCCGTCGCCACTGTCGATCGACTCGTGTGTTCCAGCCACTGCAGCACGATACTGCGGAAGGGGCTCACTAAACTCACTGGGACTGCCCGACTGCTGCTCCATGGTAGCCAAGACTCTAAGACTGCAAGAGTATCCAGGAGTAGATCTACTATCTGGCTGACTGAGAGTGAGAGGCGTAGGCGACGAATCGGTGGCACTAGTGCCAGCAGTGGTGGGTCAGGCCAAATTCAACTCTGGTGAATGACCCAGACAGGCTGCATGAAGAAGCCCTCCAAGTACCAGTAGTTGTGTGTGAACTATTACTTGTACAGACTACAGTATCTGACTTCTGAGTTTATTTTTTTGGAGTGATGCAGCTCAGCAGCTAAGAAAAGATGACTCAAGACTCCAGTACGAAAGAATGAGGAGACTGGAACGAAGGAACCATGATAACACTGCACTGCGCTAGCACAGTAGCAGCACGACTCATATTATCACAGTGAGAGTGAGACTACGGACAGACTACAGATTAGACTACAGCCTAGTAATAATACTAGTAGTAGTAGATCTACAGTACAGTACTGACTGTACAGTCAGTACTGTGCTGTACTGTCAGTACAGGCGAGTCATGTAGGACTCTAGTCTAGGGCTTTAGTAGGAGTAGGAGTAGGACTCTACTAGTACTACTATCTCTAGCCTAGGGCTAGGAGTGAGAAGTGTGGCAGCGCTGCACAACACCGGTAGATCTACTCTACGTGGTGTAGATCTGCATGACATGAGCTGTATACATGTAGTGTAGATCTACCATAGTCTCATAGAGTCATAGATCAGATCACCATAAAACACTGATACATGTACATGTACAGTGATACAGTGATACAGATAGTGATAAAAGGCATAATGATCACTAGTCTTTGACACATGCACTGTCACTTGGTCACTCATTGATCCCTACGCTACGTGAATGTATGTGCTGTCGCGGACATGGAAATCCGGTCGCACGTCTAGCGGCCACAGGGCGCTGGCCATGCAGCCGATAGCATGCAACGCCTTACGTTCTGTACGCGCTGAGGGCGCCGGCCCCGGTCAATGGATTGGATTTCCATGTCCGCGACAGGAGTACTACTACTAGTACAGTCAGTACCTAGTACCTGTTCGCCAAGATGTAGATCTACATGACACTTGACAGACTCAGTACTCAGTCTCACCACTGGCATGACCTGACTCCTGAGTGATCATGGTGATGACACTTGACAGTCCCGATCCCGCACGGACCCGCACTCCCGCAGTCTAGTCTCGCACGCAGGCGCTACATGTATGACCATGATGACTGATGTAGGCCGGCATCGGCGCTATCTAGCTGGGAGGGATCGAATCTACAATGATGTAGATTGTGTAGGAGATCTTTTGTGTTCAGACCGTGCCAGTTTCTGATCTGCACATGTCATACAGTCCAGTTCTGTGACCAATGGCAATGCCAATGGCAATGGCATGGGAATGGTGATAGGTTCGTGGTTTCACTGAGCTGAGGCTACTTTTTTTGTAGGCAAAGCACATGTTACCTCTCCCAGCGCAGTGGCGACTGTAGTATCGCGCGAACACTGCTTGTTCTTTCGCACAGCATCTATCTTTTTCCGAACTCACTTAATTTTTGCACACTTTCTCGTTCATTGTACATACACAAACAGGAGATGCCCCTGATTATAGGCTGATAGGCGTCAGCCTTTGGGTAATGCTGAAATTAAGATTATTATCGAACGAGTCGACCTTCGTAGACATACGTGTACCGGTACTACCGACTCTTTAAAAAAAATAAGAACAGGCTAGGCTAGAACAGCAGAAGTAGAACCCTGACCCCCAGTTCTTTGGCGCCCAACAGTAGTATACATGTACCGGTACATGTATACTACATGTATACTGGTACTGCATGCAGTCGCAGCACATGTACGTGTACGTGTACGAGTACGTGTACGAGTCGTACCTTGAAAAAAGGTAGATCTACCCTTGACATTCCGCCGGCCGATTATTACCGGTCTGAGGCAGCTTGCTGAGACTGTAGAGCAGGATGGAATTATCTAGACCTGACTAGAATCCTGTGTACTGTGACCATGGTGACTGTGTAACAGTGTGTTGCTTGTCTTGACATCCACGTGTTGAGCTGATCTACAGTGCTACTAGTACCTGTAGACTACATTCCTACACCGGTATACTGTTCAGGGAGCTCTGTGCAGGTAGCTCTATTTCTGGTTTTAGTATTGCTATTGGAGCATGTACAGCGAAACCTATCTAAGACGACCACCGCTCAAGGGACCTGCAAAATGTAGTCTCTGTTGCCAGGTGGTCTCCTTATCCAGGGTCGTTTGGCTGCAAAAGCATCCCTTGGGCTTGGTCCTGGTTACAGAGTGGTCTTCTGAGGCAGGTGGTCTTCTGAGGCAGGTGGTCTTCTGAGGCAGGTGGTCGCCTTGACAGGTTTTACTGTACATGTATGTGGAGGGTTCCCTGGCCTGGTGCGGTGGCACTTGGCAGTGTCGTGGATCGGGCTCGCACCCATTACAATACATTCTACACCAGGCAACTGGCCATGACGACGTGCGTGATAATGACATGCCAGGACATCTTGACGTGGGCTTGCGGCATTGAGCAAATTGGGCAGCATGCTATGCAAATCTGGACACAGCATTGCAGCATGTACATATACCAGGCCATAATTATATATAACCCAATACTAGTTCAGAACTAGTATGAGATAAAACTTGTTATAGGTCACGCATATTGTTAGATTGACAGCATGAAACAAGGTGGAGGACACTGTGTTCGGAAACAGTGACCTTACTACATGTACAACCTTCCGCGGTTGGCAGAGCCCCGGTCCCTGCGGACCATTTGAACCATATGGGTGTTGAACCCGGTTCTGACCCTCATTATGCTAGGCCTAGGGGGGTTGGAGACTACTCCTTGCGTCCGTCGTGTATTCTCTGATCGCTCCTGGATGTCGTCCTGGTAGTCATGTAGCCAACTTCTTTTCTTCCAACTTCTTGACAGCTGACGAGCTGAGAGAAGGACGCCATGGGCAGAAGTTGGAAGAAAAGAAGTTGAGGTTTAAGTAGCCACATGACTACCAGGACGACATCCAGGAGCGATCAAAGAATACCCGACGGACGAAAGGAGTAGTCTCCAACCCCCCTAGGCCTAGCATAATGAGGGTCAGAACCGGGTTCGACACCCATAATTATGGTTCAAATGGTCCGCAGGGACCGGGGCTCTGCCAACCGCGGAAGGTTGTAGTAAGGTCACTGTTTCCGAACACAGTGTCCTCCGCCTTGTAAACTAGTTGTTTCATGCTGTCAATCTAACAATATACCAGGCCAGCAGGTGCACCGACCACCTGCATGACCGTAACTAGGTTACGTGTACGTGAAACTCGGAGTCGCAATACAGCTCTGTCTCTCTGTCTCTCTGTCTCTCCCTCTCTCTCTGTCTATCTGTGCCTGTCTGGCGGTGTGTGCGTGTCTCTAGAGCGCTCTCTCTCTCTCTCTCGTACAACAGAGCAAGGTTGTTGCACTGAAATCTGGGAATTCATGCTCTTTACAGTGCAGTAATCAGGCGCAGCCACTGGAAAAAATTTTTGTTTGGCACCAGGGGCCCGGGGATTGTTTTAGATGGCCCACGCCTGGTAAAAAGAAAAAGAAAAAAAAGAATGGTTGGCACCTATGAATTCAGGGAATTCAGCTTTTGTTGTGATGTCTACTGAGTCTGTAGTCACTAGTCCTGGGAGAATGTGATATTGATATCAGCAAGAGTACATAACGATTACGTACTCTTGATATCAGCAAGACTAATTATCACCATGTACTAGTACAATGTATGTACTCTTGATATCAGGCAACCACCTCCTCTACCGTGTGTACAAAACAAACTCACATAGGAGATTCCATGCCTACTGGATAATTATTATGTACATTAGAATCATAATGGTCAGTAGAGACTACTAGTACCAAGCAATGACTATGTACTGATACTCTTGGTGGTACTACAACTAATACCAAGAGTACATAAACCAAGAGTACATTATGTACTCTTGCTAATACTTATAGAGCCGGGCTCAGGCTTCCTGTCACACTTCCTGTGGCTGTGGAATGTGCGGATGACGAAAACTGACAATAAAATCTGTCTCCTCGGGCTCCTGGAATGCTGTGAGAGAAAAGCCTCTTGTACTGGCAAAACTAAACAACAATGTTGCACAATGGAATGCTGGATCATTCCAGCTGTGCATCAGCTGAGCCTGTCCCATGTATTCGATGAGCATGCCCGTGTGTGACGCTTGCCAACACCACAACTTGCACAAGTTAGTGCATGCAGTGGATTTAAAGTATGCTGTAAGAACTAATAATTGTGGCTTGATTGTTGACTGATTGCCGATTACTGTACATGCGTGGTCAGAGGCATTACATCACCTAGCTTGCTGCAGAAATATTTCACGGCCCAGCCTGGGCAGAGGCGAAGTTAGAGTGAAAATGCATGAATGCTGATTGCTTGTGGGGAAGCTGCACGGGGAAGCTGTACTCGTACCCATACTCCCACCTCCTCACCCCACAGACCCAGCATTCTTGACCAACCGTTTTCCTCTCTCTCTCACACACATACTCTTCAGACTCTCTCTTTCTCTCCCTCCCCTCCCCTCCTCCCCCTTCACATGCACACACACACACACACACACACACACTATTTGCTCCATGCCAGAAACTGGCCCTCGGTGTCTGCTCCAGCGCCGGGGGAACCGGGTAATCCACCCGGTTGGGCGGCGCTTGGACCCGGTTGAAAAATTCCGGGTCACCTGTGACCCGGTTGGTACTTTACAAGTAGTCTTTCGAACTTTGAAAGGACTGACTACATGGCTTGTATGTATCAGATACTTCTTCTTTTTTCGAAATTTTCTAATTCCTGTCCTCTCTTTTCTAAATGCGGCTTATCCATTCGCCTTTATATCATTGGGCCTAGTTCCCGTTTATTGTCCGAATTAAAGTACACCAACCAACCAGTTAAAGCATGTGACTCGGCTGGTGAGACAGCGCCAGGTACATGTGTACCGGGCTCCGACCCGGTTGAAATGGTTGCGCCAGGCACACGTGTACCCGGCTGTCCTACAATCCTAGAGCAGACACTGGCCCTATGTGACTTTATTGGACAAAGAGAGAGAGAGAGAGAGAGAGAGAGAGAGAGAGAGAGAGAGAGAGAGAGAAAGAGAGAAAGAGAGAGAGAGAGAGAGACAGAGAGAGAGAGAGAGAGAGAGAGAGAGAGAGAGAGAGAGAGAGAGAGAGAGAGAGAGAGAGAGAGAGAGAGAGAGAGAGAGAGAGAGGTAGTACTTCAAAAGAAGTATGTCAAAGCCTGAGAACCACCAACACCATGGCAAGCTATTAAAACAATACCCTCTCAAACTGCT